TAAATGCAAATTATCAACTTACGGGCTGAAATAGACTCAATAAAAACTAATAGTATTGTAAGAAATAAATAAATTGTAATATAACCAATTTTTCGTTCCTGTGAAAAATAACGAGAATGTAGTGGACTTTTCATTTATGGATAGAAGGAATAACTATTGTGACCGTAATTGTTAGTTTTTTAGTGCACTTATATTTTTTTTCTTGTTTGACCAATTATTTATTTAACATTCTAACATTCTAACGTTCTAAATTGTAAATTTTTCAAACATTAAAAAAGAAGCAAAAGAATCATAATCTAGATGCTTTTTTTAGATAAATAATTATATATATATTTGAATACGCGTCAAGGCTTACGAATGCAAACACTAGTTGGTACGTTAATAACGACTCGGGTTGTGATATTAACACCGATTTACAACAACGATATACACGTATAACAAGGGGAGAGTATTTTTCTTGGATAACTTTTACTATTTTATTATTTCGAAGTGGTTTTAACTCCAAGAGTTGTGTTTTAAGAATATCTACTATCGATACTATTTTATTGCATTAAGACATTATCAGTTATGGTATCTCGTTCCATGTATGTAGCGACGAAAATATTTTATAGGGGTCAACCGAGCCCATATTATATTGGGGTGTTAAAAGATCTAAATATAAAGACCAGCGAACCTAGGAAATGTTGGAAAAACCAACCCTCGAATTAACCCTCGCATTTGCTTTTTGTTTTTTTCCTATTTTTCCCCAGATTCCCTTCATAATTATAATGTTTACTACACCAAATCTGATTACAATTTAACCAAGCATACTAATACTATAGCGCCCGTAAAATTTTGAAATCTTTAAATTTCAGTTTTTGACCAACGACCCGTGATCGTATATATAATAACGTTCCTTTTAGAAGTCGAGACCATAGTATTTTAGGTTAAATGCTTAAAATCTTGAATTCCTCTAAGACGCGATTAGAATAATCTAACCTATTATTTACATATTCGATATAATTATTAGACCCAACATATCATTTTAATTTAACCTACACTGAGTAGTTGCTTAGTTTTAATAATTTATTAATAAATTTGATTGGTTTTGAGTTTGACATTATTAACCGAAAGTGAGACAAATATTTTGGTTTTGGTTATTATCCAAAATGAAGTAGAAACTCCGATTCCCAAACCTAAACTAAGTAGTAATGTCATAAAAAAAAAGGCTTGGGTCGCAACTCTACTTAACAATCAAAGTCATTAGCATCCCTTGTGAAACCAGCCATTTACGTATCTACTTCACGCCTCATAAATAAGTCAATAGCCGTAGAAAACGCGGCAAACCCTGCACACCCAATTAAAGTAGCCTGAGGCCCTGCCTTAGCAGCTAGTAATGCACCAGTTATACATCCTGCAGCTGTACCATTATATATGTCGTTTTTAGCACGATACTATTTTTCATGAATATAATTCAGAATTCATCAAGGGGAATAAAAAAGAAACAAAGCTAAGACGAGGAAAATAAAAAATTTGATAAGCTACTTTTACTAACATACCCCCTCTATAACACATTCAGTACCAGAAAATATAGCACCAACGACAGCAAAATTTTTAGCCATAGAAAAAGATCGTTTGGCCATGTCTTTTGCTGTGGCCTTTAATTGTTGTTTCATTGGTTGTTCATATATTGCAGGGTCGGTTGATGTCATTTCGAACGAGGACATGAACATCCCAAACAGACCACCTAATGCGAATCCTGTTTTTACGGGAAAGGAAGAAAAAAGAAAGATTTAGTAGGTGACTCAAGTTATAGTGTAGCAACGGAAGCTGTGAAGAATTGGATAGTAATGTGAGTTTTTTTTTTGATTATAAAATAATAAAAGAATCGGAATTTTTTTTTATATTTACCCGCTACACCACTTAAAGCAACTTTAAAAATACATGATTCTTGAACCATTTGCATATAGACTAATTCCTTAGGAACGGACTCTTTATTTGGGAACGCCATTATGTGTTTTTTTTTTTTTTTTACGAAGTATCGGGTTCGATCTAAAATTTGATTAGAAACTTAATAGATAATATCTAACCAATAATAATTCGTGCAACTAACTCGCATTTGCGAAGAGCGTGATACATAACGATAAAGAACTATCGGTATTAACTGAAGATTTACATCCTCCAACTAATTTTTATTTAACTTCTTTTTTCTCTTTTTCTTTTTTCCTTTTCATAATTTATCGAAAAATGATACAACACGGATCACTTAGTTTACCATTAGTTCGAAATTTTTTTAGAGCGGTGGTATTTTGGCTATATATCTATACCACATTGTACAAATTTCAGGTAAAAGCTGGGAGTCCTAATTGTCAAGTCATTAATGAGACTTCACAACAAGTTTATGACTTGAGACCTTTGACGAGAATTTCAGGGTACGTTACTTGTTTTCTAATGTGTTGTGACTTTAGAATATTCTTGGCATAAAGAGACTTTTGTTTTTATACAATAATTTTTTTTTTTTCAAATATAGAGATGATTGGAAAGTTAAATCTGAAGGTTTCAATTATGAATTTGGGTTGAATGTTTGTAATGTAATTTTGAACACGTCTAATGTTAATCAAGATGACAAAGTTGGTATTTGGGGTAAAAAAAGCCTAACGAACGTAATAAACGTATTAAAATGTCAACGCGTAACGAACTTACAAAAACGTTTGTTTTGATTGACTGTCACGTTATACCTTATTTTGACTGTCACGTTATACCTTATTTTGACTGTCACGTTATACCTTATTTTGACTGCACGTCATACCTGATCTTAGTATTGTTCAAAAAATTATATATAAAAAATTAATTTTGCGGGTGTGCTATCAAAAATATCCTCTTTCACTTCTTTTATCTTTTTCATCTCTTTCACCTCTTTCACTTTTTTCACCTTTATTACCTCTTTCACCTCTTTCTTTCAATACAATATGGAGTAGAAGTAAGTATAATTAATAATCACGATGGATAGGGTCCGGTAAGGTGCATCGAAACAAATGCTGCGGAGACTCGGGAATAGTAATCTGACAACGTATAGCCCCAGTCGGCTGTATCCGTTATTCATCTTTTTATCTGATTATGCTTATTATGAAACATTTTTTTTCATAAATTTTACTTCTTTTATCTAGTATTACAGTTAGGCGATTTACTAAAGAGAAAACTTATTTGCCGATATACTCTCAAACGGGAAAAGGCCGAAAACATTCGTTACGACGTTTAATTCGTTTTTTTTTTGGTTTGTAATGCAACGAAGTTTCTACGTTTATTTTTTTATTTATTTATTTTTTTTTTAGGTATGATACGTACGACGTTTCGTTACATGTTTTTGATACGCTCGTTACGCAACGACATTTCGTTACGTTTGTTGAGTTCATTTTTACGTTTTTGTTATGTTTTTTGGGTTGGTAAGTTCGTTACGTGTTAATATTTTAATACGTTTTAATACGTTCGTTAGGCTTTTTTTTTTTCTGGTTTAACGTATCGGTATTATAAATCAAAACAAATAATTTAAATTTTAAATTTAACAGGTTATAGAAATATGGACTTTGAAGCATTGACGAAGTCTTAGGATTGAAAACGATAATAATTAGCTTTAAAAAAGCTATACAATAAATCTCAAATACCAATACTGTATTAATTAATAAATATAAAAAAACAATTCTTAATAATTTTTTTGTAGTTTCTTGTTTTATCACATGTATATAAAATTTATTAGTTTATACTTTGATAGTTTTCCTATCGCGTGGCTAGTTTATATTTTATCAAGTTTTGTCACGAGTATTTTCGGCATCACTATTACCAGGGGTTGAAATAAATTTTGATTTTCGATAATATTTTTTATATACAGCAAATGGTAATCCACCTATAGCAATATCTAATATTAGGGGTAGTTTGAACCGGAATAGGAGAACTTGTTGCTGTAGGTGTATTAGCAACACTAGCTGAGGCTGATGAAGCTGGAGATACAGCTAGGGCAGCGGGTGCAGACGCATCAGCAGCAGTAAAAACTGGTTTGATTAATAAAACCTCTGAAATTATAGGTAAAATGTTATACTTAAATTCGAATAAATTAGCCAAAAGAATTAATGTTAAGAAGATAACATCTTAAATGGCATGCAAAAATAAATGCAAATTATCAACTTACGGGCTGAAATAGACTCAATAAAAACTAATAGTATTGTAAGAAATAAATAAATTGTGAAAAATAACGAGAATGTAGTAGACTTTTCATTTATGGATAAAAGGAATAACTATTGTGACCGTAATTGTTAGTTTTTTAGTGCACTTGTTTGACCAATTATTTATTTAACATTCTAACATTCTAAATTGTAAATTTTTACAACATTAAAAAGAAGCAAAAGAATCATAATCTAGATGCTTTTTCTAATTGGCTATTTCCTTGTATTACTCGCGAAAATAAGTGTGCTTAATTCTTGCTAAGAAATGATTTATCGATATGGCCAAAATATCGATATACCTGATCAGACTACCTACACATGTAAATTTTTTCAACGCCAAATCTATATCCTGACCCAAATTGTCTTAATTTTGGCCAAGGGTGTCATCGTAACACAGCAGCAAATTTAAATAAATCACCATGTATCTGATCGCGCTTTGCAAAACCCAGTGATTTTCTTTGTGATGATAGTGGAAAACTGAGATTTTAAATTTCCTATCAAGCGTATATCATGTAGGCTAGGATTTTTGATGGGAATTTGGTGATTATTGAGATAAAGTAAATTTTCGATAACAGGATCATAATGATATAATAAAATCGTTGGATCAATAATTAAAATCAGTAGAAAAATTAATACAACTTATAAGCGGTTTCATAAAGGTTTCATAAGCAATCTAATCAAATTCAATCATACAATTCAATTTTTATATTTTATTCGATCAGATAATATTGAAAAGTGATTTTCAAGGCAAAAAATCCATCCGAGAACTTAATGACTTAATTAGAGCGATTTGGGACAAAATGCAAAATTTATCATTCTGATCGATTCAGACCTTAATTCTGCCTGCTGGATTTAGGTTTCTAGATCGATATCATAAAGATTGAACGTATCAGATATGGTAATGCATTCGAAGAAAGTTAAGGCGAAATACACATGATAATAATCTGATGTAAAGATTATTTGGACGTCATAATACAAGAAAGAAATCAGATGATTAGAACCGAGAAAAAGACATTCACTGAAGTGCTCATCTATTGTTAATAATGCATCTTATGAAAATTTTCCGATATATACCGGTACTTGACGAAAAAAAGCTTAATTCTCTGCATATTGCTGCATTGTCACAAGATAGGCAAATAAATAAATAAATATTGTAAGTGGGGACAGAGTTTAAGTGGAATTGAAATTTCTTAATTCAATTAGAATTTTGAAATTCCAGATGCATAAATTTGTTCCCAATTGTAATATATATATATCATTCTGATATTATCATCTTAAACTTTTTTACAATGGAAAAAGCTGTAACCGGCAGCTTTATTCATCGACATACCTTTATATGCGTTTACATCATGATAAAAATATAAATTTAAAATACATTTTTCGTTTAGAGAAAAAGCTAACGACAATATATACTGTAAAAAGGTGACTGCCTTAATTATATATTATCATTCTGTAAAAAATTTTTAATCACTTTCTTGTGTGCATTTCCAAATCCTTTGCAATGTCTGAATTCTAAAACTTTCATCTTCAAGTCAAAGTACGCACATTTCGAAACAAATGTTTCAATATCTTCGATCGTAATTAACCAATTCATCCAAACTTTCATCATTTTCATAGTCATTGGTATACATGATCCTAATTCTTCCAATAATTCCTTTGCATGAAACAATTCCAATTCTGGTGGCCAATATTCATCCAACGGTTCTTCTTCGTCTTCGAATAAAAGTTTCAAATCATATATGTGAAAATATTCAAGCTTTTTACATTCTTTAAAAAGTGCGATGACGTCTGAGATCTGATTCACTTGGATTGACGCCACAAACCTTGTAAGATTTTGACAAAAACTTACACAACAAAGAACAGTTTCATGAAAATTGGTAACATAATGATCATGGAACTCTAAAACGTTAAGATTTCTATTGGATTTTTTTAAAAGGAACTCTAGAACTTGTGGATTCACGCCTATCTTGAAAATAATTAATTGTGAAAGATTCTGAAATACTAATGAATCTTCAATTTCTTGAATTTCACTATTAAAATTTCTACATCTGTAGAATTTTAAATATTGTAAATTATAAAATCTAGATAGTTGTAAAAGAGAGTAATCATCAAATGTCGCTTCATGAAATTCAATTGATGTTAAACTCTTGTGAAGTAATTGTGATGAGGCAAGACTATCCCAAATATTTTGAAAAAAATCTGATACATGACTACATAAACTAATTTTTTTCAAATATTTCTGATTTTGTAAAAGGGTTACAATATTTTTACATACAGGATCATTCTTTCTATATCTTAAAGATAAACGTAAATATCTTGCATTTTTCATAACAGAAGATAGATTCTTGAATTGATCTGGAAATCGTTGTTGATCATCAATTACCACTGATTTTATCGATGATAAAGAAGTGGTTGCACCATTAAGCTCAAATATATCAAACCAACTCGCGTGTTCAAGATCAAGATAATCAATTCTGGATGAATTGCATAAAAAATATTCACAAAGAACTTTGCAAATTGGTGTAATTTTTTGCAAAGAAGTTGAATCTGCTCCAAATACAGAATCAGTCCAATATTCAACACTTCCATGAATCAATACCACGTTTATGCTGCGTAAGTAGACTGGGTAATTGAAAAGCGTTGGTCTTCCAATAATCGATGTTATTTCAAGAAGTTTTCGTGTAGTTGAAGGAAGGAATGATAAATATGTATTTAATAACGGTACTAGTTTATTCGGTTTACGAAGACACTGACAAAGTTTAAATGGGTCTCGCCACAATATTGGAATAGATGATATGCACCATTGTTTGTTAACTAAAATACATGAATGTAAGGTTTTTGAATCTTGTGACAGATTTAGAAATATATTTTCAAGACATAGATGTGGTAAAAAGCTCATCTTTCTTACGTACAAATTCTTGGATTTCAATCGAACTACACTCGCATGTACATGTGTATACGAATTTATATCGTTTTGATCAACAAAAATGTTATACAATTATAATATGACCAAATCTAGTTTAGGTTTGTATCTACGTTATGCATTCAATACATGACCAGGAAAATCTTTGAAACGCCTATTTTTTAATTCGGGTAAAATTGATCATGCATTTCTCTTAAAATAGTATTAAAGTCAAATTACGTGTTTCAAAAATTATCCAAAAAAAAACAAATTCCTTATATAATACTTTATACAAAAAAGTGTGATGTTTCATTCTCATTATTTACATTCTTTTGCAATGCCTTGTGGGCCATATAGTAATAATGGTTATCTGCTAATAAATATCTATGAGTGCTTAGAGTGAAAACTTAGAAGCGAATCTTTTAAGTTTTATCACTATAGCGGACTTAGTCTTTTATAGTATAATATGATAAGTTCGCTACGATGATAAAGATTCACTTCCAGGTTTTCACTTTGCAGCATTCACATACTACTAAACAACAAAAGCATCCAAACAGGTTTAATACATATTTTATGCAAAAAAAACTGATACGTAGTCATATGCTAAAATAATAGAGTGGTTCGAGTATTTTAAAAAGAAATTATACGTATGGCTAAGACTAATTAAGAGTTAAAAAGATTATACGTTTAAAGTATTATTGTACAGTACTGCAGTACGTATAATAGTAGGTGCATATGGGTAGAGCTTAGATTCGAGTAACTCGAGTCAAGATTTTATAATTCGAGTTGACATAATTTGTGTTTCGGAATTATTCGGATGTCTCTTCTCTAAATATAAACATTCTACTTCGGAAGCTCCAAGTTCTGGTCTCTTATCTTTAATGCCGGCCGTCTAGTTCTTAATTCTGGCCTGCTTTATTCTTATATAACTCGAATTAGGTTTTTCTAACTCGAGTTAATGTTTATTCGAGTTAAAGTTTATGCTTTACATATGGGTCTTTGCTAGAAAAATCGAATTTCGAAGCTTCTTAACTAAAAAATAGGATTTTGATATTATAATATTCTTTAGTATAAAAACTTTATATAGTGTAATTTTAAAAAGCAAGTTATTGAGATATTTATATTAAAAAAGTCTATTTTGCAATTTTTTTTTTTTTTTTTTTTTTAACTTAGATGACCTTACCCTTGGTTTATTAGTGGAAGATTTATAAAGAAATCATAATACAAAAATAAGAAAAAGAACTAATATTCTAAACTACTAATGTATCCCACCCTTACAACCTCAGATTCACTCGGCTTGCCTTATGCTGCCCAGATGCGATCTACCGCAAAAAGTATTTATCTCCCTAAAAAGTGTCCTACCTAAGTAGAGTGGTTCCTTCAGATCAACAATAGGTTCTTTTACGCCTGTATCAAGGTCCTAGGTTGCTTCTAATCTAATTGAAACTAAATTACAAACTATTAATACCTAGTCCAAGTTAAAAATA